TCGACACCCCACTGAGAGACAAGGGTGGCGCGGAAACGCAGAACTGTCATCCGTGGCCTCAAAAGTACTGCTTCGGGACGTCATTATCCCAGGCCACTCCAATCCTCTTCGTAGTTTTAGCTTTTCGTAATTTTTATGGAGGATATTTCCCGAAAGATAACATTTCAAAGTTTCTCTGATTACCCTTTCTCATTCACTAACTTCACAATACCATCTAGTAATACCGATATACATTATTTTTAGTTTTTCAAAAGAAATGCTTATGCATAGCTGCACGGGTTATTAGGTTTAATTTCAGTTTAGATGGAATCTGCTAACTGTGCTTATCCTGCTCCTGCCGCCATATTTGACGAACTACCATGGATGCCTATGCCGCCAGCTGCCTACTATGCCTACCCCAGTATCGGCAACTGGACAGTCAGGGTTGGTACTTTTGAAATGATGATTCGTCAAAACGGGCCATATAACCCTTGACTGAAGACCTACGCTGAACCCTTTCTGGGCAAAATTCAGCACAGCTGATTCCCGGATGAAATGCTCAGAGCTACAAAGAATGGCCCCCAAGAATCCTAAATCAGCCATCCGAGGCAGATTAGCGCCGGAAGGCGCTGATCTTCTTAACCTCATTCTGGTGCAATTCGGCGACGGGGGGGGGACATTTTGCACTTTCGCTGCTTCCCGCTGTCGTGTCGAGCCATCAAGTAGAGATTTGTGAAATCTGTGAAGCCATGAAGTGATACCAGTCAAAGTTTGTAGAACTACTTGTCAATCTTTGCAAAGTATACCTGTCAACTCCTGCAAGGCAATGAACACGACGATGGGAAGCAGCGAAAGTGCGACCCCCCCCCGTCACCGAACTGCGCCTTTACTATTACTATCGCCATGTTTCAGATATCCGATGACTATGCAACACTCACTGCCTTACTCCAACATGGCAAACTGGTACGGCTACAATACAACCAGTATGTTTCCGGAGAATTCCACTATTTCATTAAGATAGAAGAATCGGAGTTGTATGGCTGGGGAAGGGGGCACTTTGCACTTCGGCTCGTTTCTTTTGCTACTTCCTGTGAAACTACATGGCTTACCTTGTTCTTATCAAGTGTCAACAAAGCTTCTGCAATTGCATAGCTTCACAGGTCTCCACAGGAGGCATCTGTAGTAATCGGCAGAAGCCTGCAAACTGCCCCCTCCAAGCTGAATAGCGCCGAAGAATCAATGAAATATTAGGGATAGCTTATTCCATCTTCGAGTCTCATTTTACAGGCATGCAGTCGGGTGGCAAGTATAAGAAAAAACGCAATTTGTTCACAAAACTGCAGCTAAACATGCTCCAGAGAAGGTGATTAAAGTCTCTTTTTTCAAAAATATGAATAATGATTGTACTCTTCAACTTGATGAACTCTTTAAAATTACAGATTCGCTGAGAGGGAGCACATACGACAACCAGAACGAGATAACTTCGCGCAGATGATTGGCCTCACTGGAGAACAGGTATTATTTTTAATCACCCTGTACTTCATGTAAGAGCTATAGCTGTTTGCGCTGCTGACTCTATGGCGTGTTGAGGTGGGGGGATGGGTGGGTTGAAGAAGGAAGTAGCAGGGTTTGGCGCGGTATCAGCTCATTTTCTACCAATTATTATCGCTTATTGTCGCTGAACAAATGGTGGAGAATGGGCGCCGAACCCAACCCCCTGACAAGTCCCAGCGTATGCAGCGAAAACCACTGTGAATCACGGATGGGGCTCAAAGATTTTCTATGACTTCTGCCTATTTATCGATTAGGAATAGTTGAGGGATGCGGGACATCACATCTACGTCGCGACGAGTGAGTGAGATCGCCGCGTCGTCGCAATGTTGTGGGTGACCAACGCGATGTTTAGGCGGCGTAATATGAGCGGTCTTACCCGCGTCTGACCGATTTAGCCGAAAAAGCTGCAGTATGTCGAGCCAGCTAGCTAGGACCCACTAAC